TGTGAGGTTTGTTCTCCCAAGCAATGTGGGACTAAAACCCACTACAATACACTATTATCAACAGCCCCCTTCAAACTCATGTTGGATCAAACAAAGTGAGTTTGCGTACAAGAAACTGGAACCGATGAACAGGTAAGGCCTTTGTGAAGAAATCTGCAAGCTCGTCAGCGGATGAAACATGAGGAAGTAGAATTGTCTTGTCCTTGATAACTTGGTGACGGACAAAATGAGCGTCGATCTCAATATGTTTGGTCCTTTCATGAAATACTGGATTATTAGCAATCTGGATGGCACTCTTATTATCACAGTAGAGAGGAGTAGGAGTCGTAACAGAAATACCGAAATCACTGAGAAGGCGACGAAGATGAATAATCTCTTTAGCTGTTGTGGACATTGCACGATACTCTGCCTCAGTACTGGAAAGAGCAATAACATCTTGTTTCTTACTTCGCCAGGAAATAAGGGAATCACCAAGAAATATACAATAACCTGTGGTAGACTTTCTGGTAGTTGGATCACCAGCCCAATCAGCATCAGAATATGCACAAAGCTCTAACTTAGATGTAGCAGGAAACAAAAGTGAGCGAGTGCTAGTACCCCGGAGGTACCGAAGAATCCGTAATAAGACAGCATAGTGTACAGAACGTGGGGCACTAACAAATTGACTGACAATACCAACAGCATGAGAGATATCTGGTCGAGAGATGCACAAATAGACCAACTGACCAACAAGATGTCGATATCGGGTAGGATCAGATAGAGGCTCACCGTCAGTAGAGCAAAGTTTGACATTCTGCTGGAGTGGAGTATCGACAGTTGTATTATCAGTTAACTCAGCTTGATTTAGAATATCTGAGAGATACTTCTGTTGAGACAGTAATACACCCCGCGGGCCTTGAGAAATTTCTAGACCAAGGAAATACCGAAGAGATCCAAGATCCTTCATGTGGAACTGTTGTTGCAACTGAGATTTTGCGTATTGTATACCTGTCATATCATCACCTGTAATGATCATATCATCTACATAGATGAGTAATAAAACCCTGCCACGCGATGTAGTGCGAACAAACAGAGAAGCATCTTGATGACTTTCTATAAAGCCCGCTTTGAGCACAACATCGCGAAAACACTCAAACCAAGCGCGGGGTGCCTGTTTGAGACCATAAACAGCACGACGAAGGAGACATACATGTCCCGGAGGAATATTTGACCCTGGAGGCGGTTGCATATATACGGTCTCTGATAAAGAGCCATGAAGAAAAGCATTTTTGACATCCATCTGGTATAAGGGCCAACGATGAGCAGCAGCGACCGCAAGGAGAGTACGCACAGTGGGCATCTGAGCAACAGGAGCAAAGGTCTCCTCATAATCAATACCTTGTTGCTGAGTAAAACCTCTAGCCACTAAACGAGCTTTTCGACGTTCAATGGTGCCATCAGGACGAAACTTGACCTTATAAACCCATTTACTGCCAACAAGAGAGATCCCAGGAGGACAGGGAACAATATCCCAGGTATGAGTTTGCTGAAATGCTTGAAATTCCTCAGCCATAGCTTGTCGCCACTCTGGAATTTGAACTGCCTCTTGGAAGGACTTTGGCTCAACAATAGTATGAATGGCAGCAAGAAAGTTATGAAAGATAGGTGAATAAGAAGTAACAGAAGCATACCGGGCAGGCATGACATGTGGGCGTTTGCCTCGACGAAGAGCAAGAGGAACCTCAGGCGGGGGAGATGCTGGCGCAGGTGCATGAAGATCAACAGTATTTTCTGGAGTGAGAGTTGTGTCCACAGGATATGGATTAGATGGTGTAAGAGAAGACTCAGGTGAGGAAGAGTCAACAGAAGGAGAGGGAGAGATGTCAGGGAGATCTCGAAAGGAAAATTGAGGTGAAGAAGTGGGTGATGCAGTGGACGGGGAAGCATGATCGGTAGAGTGGAGGAAATTAAAGTCATCAGAAGTAGAATAATATGGAGAATCCTCTTCGAACTGAACATGACGAGATATATGAACTCGACGAGTTGCGGGATCATAACAACGATAACCTCGATGTTCTGAACTAATTCCTAAATAAACACAAGAAACTGCTCTGGGAGACAATTTATCACGTTCGTGAGATGGCAGAAAAACAAAACATCGACAACCAAAAACGCGAACTAGATCATAACGGGGAGGATGAGTATAAACACGACTATAAGGAGTAGCACCGGAAAGAGAGCTAGATGGAGTGATATTAATGGCATGAGTCGCGGTGAGAATAGCCTCAGCCCAGAAACGACGAGGAACAGAGTAAGAAATGAGCATTGATCGGGCAGTATCGAGGATATGACGATGTTTGCGTTCAGCAACACCATTTTGCTCATGAGTGTAGGGACATGACTGTTGAAAGATAGTCCCATGAGAGGACATGATAGAGCGCATGGCAGAGGATAGGTACTCTTTGGCACAATCAGAACGAAAAACTTTAATACGAGATTGCCATTGAGTGAAAATCATAGCAGTGAAGGCTTGATAAGCAGTAAGTACGTCAGAGCGATTCTTAAGTAGGTAAACCCATGTAAAACGAGAGAAATCGTCGATAAAACTAACATAATATAAGTAGCCAGATGAAGAAGGCAAAGGAGCTGGCCCCCAAATATCAGAATGTACTAAATCAAATAAGGAAGTGGATACAGATGTACTCATTTTAAATGGTAAAGCAGTGAATTTAGCCAATTTGCAACCAGCACATGACTCAATACTAGAACTAGATGATACAGGACCAAGTACTCCAGACTGAATAAGACTCTCCAGCCTTTTATTACACACATGACCAAGTCGTCTATGCCATAAATTGGCAGGAAGCGAGGTAGAGGGTTTTGACGAACAAAGAGAAGCAACAAGAGAACGTGGACGTATGGACTCTGGAAGGTGAAGATATTCCAGAAAATACAGTTTGTGCCTCCTACGACCCGCCCCAACCGTCTTGCCCGTCTGTGGATCCTGCACAATACAAGTATCAGAAGAAAATGAGACAAACAGGCCCGCCATGCATAAAGAGCTAATAGAAATTAAATTCAAGCACAATTGTGGAGCCACATAGACGGGACCAAGTGTTAGACGACCAGATGGATCATTTTGTGGGGTAATAGAGCCATACTGAGTAATGGACAATGGTTGTCCAGCAGCTGTGTAGATAGGAGGAAGAGAGGATGAAGTAAAGACAGAGGATAAAAGTGAGGCATTACAAGTCATATGAAAGGAACAACCAGAGTCAAAAATCCAGAGATCATTCATACCAGAGACTGAAGGATTAGCTGAAGAACCAGCAAAATGCATACCAGAGAGTTGTGCGGCGGATGTAGAGGTGATATGTTGAAAAGCATCAAGTTGACGGCGAAGACTTTCAATAGCTTGAATAGTAGAGTCTGAAGTAGTAGAAGGTATAGCATTGGCCAACAATCCTGGTGTACGAGAGGGTTGAGACTGAGGGGGTCGCCGACCACGTCCAGTACCTGAGGAACGTAACTCAGGATGAAGCTTGAAGCATGTCTCAATGCGGTGTCCTTCCTTCTTACAATATTTGCAAGAGAGCTTAGATCGAGCCTGTGGAGAGGGAGCCTGTGGAGAAGTATAATTCATAACAGGAGCAGTGACAGGTACAGACAAAACAGTCTCGAGTGAAGAGGTAGGAGTGTCTGTTGACAAATTGAGTCGTGCTGTCTGCTGCCGGGTCTCATAAGCAGTGAGAGCTCCCATAACTGAGGCCAAAGTCGGAAATTGAGGCTGGTGAAGTAGTTGATCAGCCATAGTTGAATATTCAGGAAGGGACTGAAACAATTGATGCACCTCATGCCGTTCGTACCAGGCTAGCCAGTCTTCATATGTGGAATTACGTCCAGGAAGCATGGAGCGTAACTCTGTCCAAAAAGCTTGCATTTGTCCAAAATGGGACTGCAGAGATGAACTACCTTTGCGTTGTAGAGAAATGCGTTGCAGAAGATATGCCTCCCGTGCACCCGAGCACTCAGTGAAACGCTCAGTGAGACGAGTCCACATGGCCTGAGCAGAGGGAAGCGAGCCAATCTCGACAGTGAGACCAGAGCCAACACAGCGAGTGAGATAATCCATAACACGAAATTCCTGCAATTGCCACTCTGAACTCTCCTTGACATAGAGAGCACGAGCAGTCTGAAGATCGACATCACCACTGCCAGAGGCAATAGTACTGGATGAAGCAACAGTGCTGATGGACGGTGGAACTGGTCCCGTACTGGTGAGATGATCAAGCAAACCAGCGCCACGCAAGGCATTGGTGACAATGGTGGACCACCCTGCCCAGTCACTTTGATCATTGAGGGGCAAAGGTGGTTTGGGAATCTTCTCTGAAGGAGCCATAACAGCAATCTTGAGACGTTAAGATGTCGAGATGCTGTTACTAATGTCGTTCGTTTGAGGCCGAGAGACGGCTTGAAACGACGATGCCGTTAATTTGAGACCGAGAGACGGTCTTGAAACGACAATGCCGTTAAAATAGAACAGAGACGGTCTTGAAACGACAATGCCGTTAAAATAGAACCCGAAGGTTAGAATGAAACCCGAAGGTTTAAAATAGAACCCGAAGGTTAGAATGAAACCCGAAGGTTTAAAATAGAACCCGAAGGTTAAACGAGAACGCGAAACGCGTTAAGAGGCCGCAAAACGACAAGGCCAAAATATCTGGCAGATGAACGCCAAATAATTAAAAATAAAAATAAAAAAAATAAAACATTAAACGGCTGCAAAGCAATAAGGCCAAGATTTGGCAAAAGAACGCAAAAGCGTTAAAAATTTTATTGAAAGGGAAATAGCCCTAGCTCTGATACCATGTTAAAGTAAGAGAGAGAGAGAGAATCTTGGGTAAATTTCCCTTGAATTGAATATTGAGTGTGCACATATATTTATACAAGTAGAGGAGTGTGAGGTTTGTTCTCCCAAGCAATGTGGGACTAAAACCCACTACAATACACTATTATCAACAGCTACTTTGAGATAATTTTCTTTCAGGTGGAATATGGAAATCCTGTTCTCTTTATTTTTATAGTCTGCACAATTTTACTACCCTGAAATCCCAAAGAAAAGCCTTCTGAATTATCCACCATCACCACTAAATAAATTCGACCAGAAAGTTCAAAATACTATACCATTAGCCCGTGGACCGAAGTAATTAGTACTTGATATATCTCAAACCTTCTCAAAAGTTTCCACTAAAATGGAGTCGTAAAAAGAGGTCTCTGAACTGACTATTGTATTGGTCTGGGGGTGAAAACATAACAAAATAATCACATAAGTATTTCCATCCAATTCAAATTTTTTTTCCGGGGAGAATAACTGAGAAAGAATTGAGTGGGTGAAGTAAGAGAACCTTCTTGTAAGTCTCTTGGCTCTTTGGATCTAGTGTTTCAAGAACCGTACAGATAGATATTGCTAGTAATTTGTAAGAGATGTAACCCATGCAAAAATAGGTGAGGTGAAAAAAAGGACATCCACCAAAAGCATCAAAATTGCAAGAATCAAAGAAAAAGTTACCTCTGGGTAAGAGCATCTCCATGTGCATTTACCTGCAGCTTGTGTATATAATCAGCAACGAACATCTTTTCATCCACGTCTCACTTTTATTAAAAACTTCCTCACTATATTAATCAGAGGAAGAGGGTTCTCCATATGCACAGCATGCCCGCAGTCTGGTATTACAGCCATTTCACATAAGTTTGTTCCTTGGTTGTCACCCTCTCCTCTAGCAGTCATGACTTCAGTATACATCTGCTGAGAGATATCTTTGAACTTTGCATCTTTCTCTCCAGCAATGAACAAAAGAGGTTTCTTGCATAGCTTTAGGTCTTCCCACAGGGGCCTAACATTATGGCATGAGTATATGATTTAGACCAATCTTCTGCAGTACCCTTAAAGCGCAAATATTTCTTTAGAATCCCATATTGGAAAGCATAGTTGGCCCTCAGTTAGATCTATAAATCAGTTTATTCAAGACTCGACAGACATGGGACAAATTGGCTTCTTTGAGTTGTGCATAATATTGGAATTCAACAAGTTGTCATGTAAGTGAACAGAGGCCTAACAGTATGGCATGAAGACATGATTTAGACCAATATTCTGCAGTATTCTTAAAGCTCAATTATTTCTTTAGAATCCCATTTTGGAAAGCATAATTGACCCTCAGTTTGATCTATAAATCAGTTCACTTAAGACTCAAAAGACTTGGGACAAATTAGCTTCTTTGTGTTGTGCATAATATTGGAATTCAACAAGTTGACATGTAAGTGAGATTTATGATCAACATTGTTTCCCTTGATACCAAAGGAACACCATCTAAGTTTAGTAAGATGATCCTCTCTGACAAATTGCCTTCTTTGTGTAGTGCATAATAGTGGAATTCAACAAGTTGACATGTAAATGAGATTCATGTTATCTCCCAAAATAAATAATTAAATAAATGAAATGAAATAATTTTTTTTGCATATATTGCATGAATATTGTGATATATAAAAGAGAAGGATCCCCTAGATAATTACACGCCTATGAAGTAAAGGCTAGCAAAGACCTTTTTTTGTTTGAAAATCATTATTAGCATATGTACATTGTCTTTTGAACAGGTAGCATGCTTGATACTTGGATTATGAAAATATGGAGCCGAATTCAAAGACATGGGAAAAAACTTGCAATAGGCTCTCCTTAAATAAGATATGAGAGAACAAATTCCTTAAAATAGCAACAATTTCTATCAATGCTATTATCTGTTTTTTTTTTAAAGTGCCAATGCTATTATCACCAATGCCATTATCATTAGAAACAAAAGTGACTATTTGGGCATTGAGTCAGGAGTACCTTATGCATATTTCTGGTACTTCTATATTCTAAAGACTGATCACAAAAGAAGTAACTTCTATACAGTAGAAAAATCGTGTTAACAGATAGCTGAGCTCTTGAAAGAAGATTTTTACAGAGACAAATACTAGAATTTGAAATTTCAGGAATCGTGAAATGCGGGGTTCATCTCAGGGATGTCTTATTAGCAAAGTTCCAACCAATCAAAATCCTATCTGCAATAACAAATTTTTTTCACTTTAACATTCTTACGGGTAATACATGGTAATGGAAGTCAGTGGATCTAGTCATAAAGCTTAACATAAAAAGAAAAAGAATTCAATTTATGAAATAAATTTCTATCTGCAGGGAGATGAAAAGTAGTCGGAAAGAAAGCATATAAGCTTACAGTTGTCTTCCAACACTCAAACCAGAGAGAACCTTAGCCAGAGCTTGGATATCCCGATGCTTTGCACGGTTGGTGGTTATTTTTTTAAAGTGCGGATGGCCCCTTAGGCTGCCAATAAGAAGAGATTTAACGGACAACCGGATCATTTGGCCATTTGAAGAAAAAAAATACTAAACAGAACTTCAAATTTATTTGTACTAGTTGGACAGTATCATAAACAAAAGTAATGATTTGTATATTCATTTATTAGTTAACTGAAGCAAGGATGCCAAGCACAGGGGAAGATTGTCCTATGATCAGAAAATGACTTTAACAAAAAGATATTACAAAAGATCAGAAGGAAACAAGACAAGTTCAAATTTAAAAATAAGTGAGGGGAATCAGAAGAGTTCTAGAAAATAAATAGACAACATGAAGATTCATTCGTTCACATATGGATAAATGCAAGGATGTGTCACACACCAGGGTTCCAGGAGTGTTTTATGAGCCCTTGCAGCATTTTAACACCGGTATCAGTTTTCCTTTAATTAGGGACATGCTATGTAACATTGATACTTATCTTACAAATCCCCCATGCCATATTGGAGATATCTATAAGATATAACCCTTCTAGCCATATAATTGATTCTCATATCTACTGTTTTAGAACTTTGATTGTGTTTGTATCATGCTCGTGTTCCTTAACTGAACGACAGGGAGGGCATTTTTAGTAGATGATAGGACCTGATCAACAAAGACATAAAGCTGCTAACCAGTGGAAGCCATTATGGCTCC